ATTGTAAAACGTATAAAAAAATTTTTTATCAATTGTGTAACCGATCTTCAAATTGATGGGACGGTCGCTCCTGTTCCTCTATGCTTATGGAAAATGTGCAAATTGCAAGCAATATAATACATCGTTAGTTTGGTGTCAAACATGTGATCCTCAGAAAACATCACAAGGATGGACGAGCGGAAATAAGAACGTCGATCATTGCATTAAAGAATTTCAGCTTAAAGCTACAGGCTATGAAGACGTAATCGAATAGATTCCCTTTGATAGTTTAGATAATAATCAGCACTCTGGTTAGATGGAATGCGACATGTAGACTTGGATGAGTTGAAAAAGGAATACACAAAGTCACGTACTTCACCGTATAGAGTATGCTTAAAATATTACATAACTCTACAAATTTATTGGATTTTTTGAGCTAAGTTAGTTAAAATTTTGGTTTATTATTTATTATTATTTAAAAGTGTTTCTATTTATTTCAAAGTTTAAAGATCTTGTACAATTAGAGGATAGTGAATTTAAATATATGGACTAACTCAAAACGCTTCTACAAATAGGCAAGTTTTTGATTTTAAAAGATTTGTTAGATTTGGAAACTGTGCAAATTGCAACCGATACAACACAACTTACGCTTGGTGCCGAACATGTGATCCTCAAAAAACAACACAAGGATGGACAAGCGAAAATGAGGATGTCGATAATTATTAAAATTTCAACTTAAGCCACCTCGTATAAAGATGTGATTGAGTGGATTCCTTTTAATAGATTAGATAACGTTCAAAGGATTGGTGAAGGGGGATTTGGTTCAATATTTTCAGCAACGTGGTTAGATGGTAAAAGAATGGTTTCAGATGGACATGAAAAAACACATACACCATGTAGTTGCACTTAAGACATTACCTGGTTTACAAAAGAATTTTCTAAGAGAAGTAAGTTAAAATGGCTTATTTATGACAAGCGCAATATATGATCTACATACTGCATAAGTTGCATCTTGATATCTATATAACCCACTGACCATAACTGCATCAAAAAGGTAACCTTAAGCCTCGCTCCGCTTTAACCGACCCGTTAATATAGGTAAATTATTAACGTTATAAATTTTATTGAATTAATTAGTTTAAAAGTTATGCAGAAATTAGATTAATGGGTAATTATCTTGAGGTGTATGGAATAACTCAAAATACAACTAATAATGAATATTTCAATATGCAAATAAAGGAGATCTTCATAAGCTCCTATCATCAAATTTTAAAGAACCATTAGAAAATGGAAAATTATCGCCAATTTATCTACTGCATTGTTTTGATTATGCTCCAATGTTGCAAATCGCTTTTCATTTTCTTTTGCTAACCGTTCTAGTTCTATGATTCTGGTATTGAGTTCAGTATCTCTTAATCTCGCTTTTTCAGCATTTTGTTCTAATTCCATTATTCTAGTCATAAATCCTGCTTCTTTAGCTAAGAATTCAGCCTTCTCCTTTTTAAGTTCAGTATTTTCAGCTACAAGCTTGGAAATTTGTTCTAATAAATCGGTTTTGGATTGTGTATTTGCCATTTTTTAATATAATATATGTATACATTCAAATAATCATACCGATACAGAAAAAAAACATCAGCAGATTAAAAATCATGTGAGCGTGAAGAATCTTCACGCCAATGCCAAGAAAACTCTTTGATCATATGCGAGTTAACATACATCGATATCAATATATTCAAAAAAAATAAAACAAATATTCAAAGTGGTTTATTTTTCTGTATCAGAGCTTACTGTAGAACTTCTTTTTCGTTTTAAATTCCGAGATTTAGTCTCAGGAGAATGTAATAGTGACGATATATTTACAATTACGATATTTCGTAAAATTAGTAATGCTTCTATCAAATTAAAAATACTTTCACTATCACTTGGTCGTACTGGAATTTGCACTGAACGTAAGTGATAGAGACGATGGATCTCATCCTCATCTTTAACAATAATGTTTAAATGCATATCCCCCGCTACTTGTATTCCAATAATTCCGAACTCATTTCTGTCTGGTTTGCAACCCTTGTATACCCAATCAAGCCCATCATTCATTTCCCGCCATAATTTTGTCTTATCTTCCTTTTTTTTGCGTTCAACGCAGACTAGGCGGGAACATTCTACGAACATGAGTTCATAAAGCTTGCCTTTGTTTTCCTCCATTAACATCATATCGGGGCGTTTTCTCTTCCCATCTCCTCTTCTATTTTCACTAGCTAGGCTCTGTCGTTCTGCACTATAGAGAAAAATTTTAGTACCCATTTTTTAACGTTATATAAATCGGTGTTGAATCGATGATAAAACTTACGAGCTAAGGAAAGCAAAATTCTTAATAGGTAGTTTCTTTAATGAAGCCTGTAAAAGAGGGGATATCACATCTGTCACATAAGTTCCCTCACTTTGTGACTCTGCAAATTGAATCTCAAATGCAGGATTCTTCCAAATATCGTTTAATGAATCAAGAATTTCTAAGGTAATGTTAGCTAATTCTTCATCCGTTTCTTTCCAAGTATTATCATGAAAATATTTTTGTAATATAAATTCAGCAGAATCATCATAAAAGTTTTCCACAAAGGAAGAACATATTTCCTTAATATTGGT